CAGTTGATGCATTTTCCTATCTTATAGATGAAGTTGAAGGTATCAAGATTATTGGATTCTCTAAGAGTGATGCATACAACTATATTCAAAAAGAGAAAAAAAATAAATATTGGATATGGGAACACTAATTTTTAAATTCAATTATTTAAAGATCCGTAAGTTGATGATAATATGTTTGCATTGGATGTCTAAATTGATAAATTTGATAGATTGTTGAATTTTATTTGGGTTGATTGGATGGGTTGGATAGATTATGATTGTTTTAGAGATGTGATAATTTTTATACTAGCCATAGATTTAATAAATATAATTTAGTATGTGCACCATTTATCAGAGTTTATAATCATTGTCAAAATATTCTCTTTGGGGTGAATTTTCTATCAAAGGAAATTATTGAATTATTTATGTGGTTATTTAGAATATTTATTTGAATAATGGGTGATAAATATTAAATAACAATATTTACTCATCATCATCAGGTAATAACTAGGGCAATAGAAGTTGCATTACCTCACGCACTCCATAGACTGTGCTAGTGACACATCTTTAAAAAGGTTTCATAAAAAATTTAGCGCTTCAATAGCAATAACAAAGTCTGAGATCACTTTTATAAGTGTTTGAGCAAATGTGACTTTGAGGACGAGTTCGAAAAAATATGAGCTGAAATGATCACAGAAGAGAGCCACTGTAATAATGGTTGGTTTGAGGAGCTTTATAATATAATAAATAAGTGGTCAACAACTTTTAATAAAGATTATTCTAGCATGAGCATTCTATCCACATAACATAATTAGTCTACTAGTAATGTGTGTTATGATATTCAAATCCAATAAGTTTTGTAATTGATTATTTTTGGGCCTAGAGTAGGCGATGATCATATGGTGCCAGAATGAAAAGGATGAAGATAACAATTACAATCAGTCTGCAGTAGTACCTATAATAAAAGTAACACAATACTAAAATAAGCTACTCGATTTTACTCAAGATAGTTTTAGTCATTTTTTAAGAAGAATTTTTATGGGACATGGATGGAATGAGTATAAAGTATACCTCATATGATTCTTCAAAGTTTTTTAATCAAGAGCATTGAGAATAAGCACCAATTGATCCTTTAGGAAGAGACATGAAAGGTATATATGTTGGCTCAAGAAAGGCATCTGAGGCAGATAATGACCTAATATTTAGAACTCATATCAAAAAATTTGCATATCAAATTAATGCACAAGCACAAATGAATGAGGAGACAGAATAATATATGATAGTTGCAACGAAGAACATGACTAAAGATGTAGAATTGATCCTTAACGGCAAGAGAAATAAATACAAGTTATAGGCAAGACACAACGCACCATTATAAAATTGAAAGATCTACTAAAGTGTAGACCTAAATGTATCTCTAATGCATGACTGAAGGGCTACTAGCAAAAGAAGAAGAAGCCTAACAATAAGATTTAACTTATATATTAATTGCTTTTTAATGTATATTATGAGGCAATGCATGTTTTATTGAACTTAGTTTTTCAACAGAGAAACTTGCCGTATAGGCAACTATAATATAACTATTTTCATCTTTAAGGAAGATGAAGTTCTCAAACATGCTCGAATGCTTCAGCGAGGAATTTATAAATAAGGCAACAACTAGTCAGGTGACATATGAGTACATGAGGATGATGATGTATATCATTGCCCCAGAGTAACAATTACATTAAATTTAATTTTAGGTTAATAAAATTAATTATAATAATTAAGACCACGAATAGGCATGCTTCTGTAAATAACCTATGTAAAACTTTATATAAATAATAATGTTCATTTATTTCCTAATTAGTAATTATTATGTGGATTTTGTGATGGTTTTATAAATAATACTTTGTATTGAGTGTGAGAAAAGATTTTTGCTCATGCCCAATGATTTGGTCAATACACAGTTAGTACACAGTCAATACAGAGTCAGAAAATATTTAATACACAATAAATATACAATCAATATATAGTTAATACACAGTCAATATAATTAAGACACATTAAATATATAATTAATGCACAATCAATACATAATTAGTACACACCTAGTACACAATCAATATACAATTTATACACATTCAAGACACACTGTATGTTGACTATATATTGAATGTGTATTGTATGTGATGATTTTTAGCATGTACTCTGAGTATATTAATTGTGTATTGCATATGAGAAGTTAAGATTCAAAGATTTAAATGGTTTATGTTGTTATTTTTATACATTAATGGTGCTTTTTGAGCTTCTATAGAGTGTGTATAGAAGAGAATTTTTTACACAAAAAGTGTGTTTAATTTCTATTGATTGTGTATTCCATATATATGAGAAGAGATTTTTGTTGATTCCTCTTAATTTAGTCAATGCACGGTCAATATACATTTTTTGTTCATTTTGTGATGATTTTTAAGCTTGTCCATATTGTATATTAGAAGAGATTTTTTTGACAAGCAATCCACAATCAATACACAAATCAATGCCCATAAATCTAAAAAAAAAATCAAAGAGTACAATTATTTTTTAAATCAAATGATTCAATATCCATACAAAGCCAACCGAAATATTTTGTTCACTATATTTACACACTGATTATACTATTAGAAAAAAAGAAAAAGGCTATTTAATGGTTGAACAAAGCAAGGCATATGCAATTCGATCATAAATTTTGGCATTTTATCTTGCCAATCTTGATGGTCACCCCAATTGACTTTCTCATATGGATTATTTTTTTATATATTTATAGATGTATATTCTGCAATCAAAACTATTATTCTGGGTTGACACATCATGGAAAGTATGAATAAGCCATTGTCGTATAGCCTAATCAAAAGATCCCTCTATATCTTTATCTAGGTAATTTATATAAATAAAATAACAAATAAATATTAATTTATATCCACAAAAGAAAAAAATAATAGAGATTATGGTTGATATGCTAGTCTCACTCACGATGGGATTGAGAAAGGAATCAAAGAAATTCCACACCTTATTCTTAAGCATCCCTACGAGAAGGGTCCAATGCTTATTGAAAAAAGCTTTATAACCTGAAAACATGGTGTATTGACTATGTATTAATTGTGTATTGTTTATCAAAAAAATCTATTCCTTATAGACAGCGTGCACAAGCTCAAAAAACCTCACAAATTGAAAAAAAATATGTATTGACTATATTCACATGCGATACACTATAATATACAATCAATAAAATGGCTAATGCTTGAGCAAACAATATTATATAGAAATTATTTAATATGTGAACACTAATCCAATGTAAGCAGGAAACATATAGGAATGGTTGGTACATGCCAGGTTGAATGCTATTCTTTTTCAGCTAATAGCATGGCGAAGGCATCCACATGGTTAATATCTATGTACTTGTTTGTTTTGAGTTTATCAATTCGACCTCTAATAATTAAGATGTTCCCAACATTGAATATCATTTCATATATACAATCAATTAATATGGTTAAACACAATTTCAAATGCAATACATAGAACTTTAAAAAATAATAATATTAAGCATGACATAACAATTGAAACTCACTTATCAGTATGCTTTCAAAATATTTATCCATGAAAATTTATATTTCTCAAGTTATCATCTCTATACAAATGAATTTGATCTTTGGACTTGCAAGTATAATGACATCAAGTAATGACTCCACCTTAATAACTGCAACAACTGCAGGTTCTTGTTGCGTAGGTGGGTTGCCTTTGTACTTTTTGTCACTAGTTGTGAATAGTGACATAACTTTCTTCTTAAATCCTTTTTTCTTCTTAAATTCTTCTTTCCTCTTCTTCACTCTTCTTGCTATAGCCGATCCCATAGTTACAGCACATGACAGTTCATCCTCACTGATGTCGACAGCTTCCTCATTAGTGTCTACAACACATGGAATTGTGGCAAGTAGGGCTTCTTCATTGGTGTTGGCAATAGGGGAATTGTGGCAGCAAGGGCTTCCTCATTGGTGTCGTTAGCTACATGAATTACGCCAGTTGGGGCTTCCTCATTGATGTCATCAGCTAGAGGAATTATGACAATTGGGTCTTCCTCATTTATGTCATCAGCTGGAGGAATTGCGTCAGTTGGGGCGTCTGGCCTTGTTGAGAACCACTCTGTAGGAGGTTGCATTTTATCATCTTTACACGCAACAACATGTTCGACCAACTTCTCCTTAATAACATTAACTTTCATTTCTAGCTGCCCAAACCTAGAGCAAACCTTATTTTCAACATCCTTGATAAGAGAATTACAAAAGGTGCACATTTCATTTAGCACTTGGTTAGAAATGCTACCAAACTTTGCATCAGTGGATGTTATTTTACAAACAAATTTTTTTTATCGAGCCAAGCTTCTTTTCAACATCCTTGATCAGAGAATTACAAAAGGCACACATTTCGGTTAACACTTGGTCAAAGATAATAACAAGCTTTGCATCATTGGATATTGTGATACAAATAAATTCCTTCTATCTAGATGGAGAGGGGACTGGGTGAGCAAAATGTGAGGGATGGGTGGGGGGTTCAAGGCAGATGGGTTGCGGTGTTTTTCTGAAATATAGTCATTATATAATAAGAGGTCTGCAATACACAATCAATATTTTAAAATAACTAATCATTTAACTAAGAATCCTACCAATAATTTAATTAATTATTTAAGTATTATTTAGTTAGTTTTAATTGTAAATTATATTATTAATTATCTCATTAATCACTTAAGAATTCTAATACTCATTAATTATTTAATTATTATTTACATTATTAATTATATGTTTAATTATTTATATTTTAAATTATATTGATTAAGTTAATTATGTTATTCTTAATTTTTTATTATACTATTAAATAATAAATTAAATTAAATTATCTATTTTATTAACATTAATCATACTCCTAATTATTTAATTAATTTACTTAATTATTAATATTTTAAATTATATTAATTAAGTTAATCAATAATAGCTTAGAGACAGCTAGGGTTTGCTTTTCATCTTCTCTTTTTCGTCGTTGCTTTTCGGCTCCGTTGCTTCGCAGTAGTTTTAGAGATTGCACCAGTCACTTCTTCTACTCCGTCGTTGCTACTTCGCTCCTTCAACGACGTTCCCTTCCTGTCGGATCGGAATTTACGACATTTTGATCGGAAGCAATGACGGGAGCTCGCTTGCTGTGAAGGTAACTTTCTCCCTTTCGCGCGCTTCTTCGGCCAAATCCCGTATATACGCCGAACTACAGGATTCAGTAAATCCAGGATTTAGGGCAAAAAGAGGGAAAATAAATGAACAAACTCGTTTATTTATTCCACCGTTATTTATTCCACCGTGAGATTTACGGGGCGCTCAAATCCCGTTTGGCAGGATTTAGCAATGCTGCTCAAATCCTGCATAAATCTTGTTGCCAAACAGCCCTTTAATGCTTAATTTTTGGCCACGGTGGGTGGACGCCCAACAATATATTGTTTAGATGTTTATTATTTGTGTGTTTAATTTTGCCAGTCTTTGCAGCAATCTGATTTGGAGGTATTAGTAGAGCTTCGTATGTTTGCCTCTTTGTGTTGATTGATATATTCATTGATATTAAAGCAAAAATAAATGAACAAACTCGTCTGTTGGAGCTTATTTTTCCATTAATTTCTGCCTAATCGATTTTTTTACCACAACTTGACTATAACTATATGATAACAATCAGTTTTTGATTTAAGTTTGCTAATTTATATTTGTCCTGCTTGTCTTGGTTGATGCTGTTTAACTAGTTTTGGTCTTTGAACTGAGAATAAGAGAAGAACCTGCATCCAAAATTTGCAGATCCTGTACAAATGAAGGCGGTGAAGCAGGCACTGCACGTGGCAACTGTCCCTTCTAGTGTTGTGTGCCGTGAAGTGGAGCAGAAAAAGGTTATTGAATTCTGTAAGGCTTGCATTGAACAAGAGAAAGCTGGCAGTATATATGTCTGTGGGTGTCCTGGAACTGGGAAGACATTGTCCATTAATAAAGTGAAAGAGCAACTTTTGTCATGGTCAAAAGAGGTATACGTTCTCTTATTATGTTGTTTGGTTATTTTCTAACAATTGAAAAATTGTTTTATTGTTATATATGTTTCTGTGGAACAAACAAATTTTTTTCTATGTTTTATAGATGCAAAACTCATTATCTTATTTCCTAATATTTGTTTACTTGTACATAGAAACTGCGTCATATTTAAGTGTCTAGGAAAATATTTATTGCATCTTAACTCTAAACTTGTTTCTTTCAATTTTCTATTCAGCAGTGGTGGTTCTTGGCTAAAAAATTCTGCTTTTATATGTCATTTCATCATTTAGGCTCATAAGTAATTTAAAATTTCTCATGCGATCTTGCCTAGAGAAAAAAATAATAAGATTTCATTTATTGTCAGATTATGAAATGAATTTGGGAGCATGGGCAATTGGAGGAGTTGGCTGATTCAGTTAAGGAACTAGTAACTATTGGAGTAATAACTTAACTTATTTTTTATAGCTTGTGCTTTGGAAATAAACCACAACAACAACAACAACAACAACAACTCTTATAGAATTTTCCCTTAAGTTTGAGGGGTACATTTCTATCACATAACAAGCCCGATGCATTCCTCCACTTCAACCATCCAACTTGAATTCTGCTGATAATATCCCCATCTATTTCACCATCACTTTGAACAATTGATCCAAGATATCTAAAACGTGTACTCTTATTAATGACTTGATCGCCCAAAGTCACAATCCCTTCAGTAGGTCTATTACTACTAAAATTACACTCCATATATTTCGTTTTAGATCTACTCAAGCGAAAATCTTTAGACTCTAAGGTTGACCTCCATAATTCAAGTTTACCTTCAACTCCCTCTCTAGTCTTATCAACAAGAAGAATATCATCAGCAAAAAGCATACACCAAGGTACATCCTCTTGCAAATGTCTAGTGAGAACATCCATGACTAAAGTAAAAAGATATGGGCTTAAGGCTGATCCTTGATGTAACCCAACCGAAATAGGGAAATACTTGGTCAATCCACCTTGTGTTTGAACACAAGTAATAGCTCCTGCATACATATCTTTAATGATTTGAATATAAGCATTATTGACTCCTTTCTTTTCAAGAACTCTCCATAGCACTTCTCTTGGAACTTTATCATATGCTTTTTCTAAATCAATAAATATCATATGTAGATCCTCCTTATTTTCTCTATATTTCTCCATCAAACCTCTTAATAAATGTATGGCTTCCATAGTCGACCTACCCGGCATGAATCCAAATTGATTTTGAGAAACATTAGTATCACGTCGCAACCTATGCTCCATAACTCGCTCATATAGTTTTAAAGTATGGCATATTAACTTAATACCTCTATAATTCGCACAATCTTGTGCATCACCTTTATTCTTAAAAATAGGAATTAACACACTCATTCTCCACTCATCTGGCATCTTTTTAGTCTTCAAAATAGTATTAAAAAGTTTAGTAAGCCATGAAATTCCTTCATCTCCTAAGCATTTCCACACCTCTATTGGAATATCATCAGGTCCAACAGCTTTTCCACCCTTCATTTTTTTTAAAGCCTCTCTAACTTCAGTTTTACTAATACGCCGATAAAAATATAAATCTTTATTTTCATCTAGGGTGCTAAGGTCACTATAGTAAATCTTATTTTCACAATTTTCATTAAAAAGTTTAGCAAAATATCTCATCCATCTTTGTTGAATATCATCTTCTAAGAAAAGTATTTTTTGATCTTCATCTATAATACACTTCACTTGAACTAAATCCTTACTACTCCTATCTCTTTGTTTGGCTAACTTATACATATATTTTTCTCCCTCTTTAGTATCTAATCTATTATATAAATCACTAAAAGCTAATGCCTTTGCATCGCATATTGCTTTCTTAGCATCCTTACGAGCCACTTTATATATTTCCCAATTATCAGAATTTTTAAAATTAAACCAATTTTAATAACAAAGCTTTGGAAATAAACCAAGGGCAATAAAATTTTAGAGTATTAAGCTAAACTTTTATGCCAAATTTAGTATGAACTTGATAGTTTCTTTAGTTGTTTTTATGCTAACTACTAAGATAACAATACTTGTGTACTAAGGGTTGTCTGTGTTGTTAAAGTGCTGCAAGTAGCCTGATATGATTTTATTTTTACTCTTATGCTGGTTCTTGAGTTTCTTGTGAAATGCCATTTTTCATGTCTCACTTCCTAGAAATTAATATAAGCTTATAATCAGTTCCTTTGTAGTCAGAGTTGATAGTGATACTTGATACCAGAAGATAGCTGTTTTTGGTCTTACCAGTTTAATTTTTAGCTGGTTGTATATAACTACCAGGTGGGACTGCAGCCGCTAGAATCTCTAGCATTAAATTGTACTTCTCTCACAAATACATCTGAAATTTTTAGCAAGGTACTGCACCAATTCAGAGAACAAACATGAACAAATCTTATTCTTAATTTTTTTCCCCAAAAGTGCTAATCTTTTTGCGTTTCCTTCATAGATACTGGAAAAACTTAATTCTTCTAAAAAGAGAAAGGGCCGCTTGACACCTCTTCAACACCTGCAGGATTTATTTTGTCAAAGAAGTAGTTCAAATTCTGGAATGATGTTGTAAGACCATATCTCCTATACGGATGCACAGTTTTTCCTACACTTTTCTATAAGCTGTACGATGTTAAATATCGCCCAATTTGATATTTCCATGCTATAAATGTTGCTGCTTTAAGATCTTAACAATCAGTGAAATTTTGCAACAGGTTGATCATCATTGATGAAATGGATTATTTAATAACAAAAGACCGGGCAGTACTTCATGACCTTTTTATGCTTACAACATTCCCATTTTCCCGTTTCATATTGATTGGTATTTTTCTGATGGCATAACTTGATAGCTGTGTACGTCTATAGTTTAAAATATCTAATGCTGCTTAAAAGCAAGTAAACCATTGAATTTTTTTTGGGGTAGTTATACTTTTCTTTTTCCAGGCATAGCAAATGCAATAGACCTTGCAGATCGATTTCTCCAAAGACTCAAATCTTTGAATTGTGAGTATTCTATTGTATGGTATCTTCTCTCTTATCTTTTATAGAAGAGATTATTTTTGACACGATGGCGAGACTAGGCAGCAAAATGTGAGCAAAATTCTCATTCTGTAGTGTTGTCATTGTGTTAGGTGAGCCCTTTGTGGTGACTTTTTGTGCATACTCTAAAGATCAGATAGTTGAGATTCTTCAGCAGAGACTTATGGTAATTCTCATATTCTTGTTCTTTGCTCATTTAATCATGTAGTGTAACTTACATTGTCTACCATGTTGCTCCAACCCCTCTTAGTGGACTTACACTTAAATCATTACTCATGTTTAACATGCTATTTACTCCAGTTTTCTCATAGCATGGATTATCAATTAACCCGCTAACTTTGGCAGAATCTTGGATGCAATGTCTTTGAACCTTTAGCTCTAGAATACTGTGCAAGAGTAAGTTGACCTCAGTTCTTCCCATTCATGTTTCTGTAATGAATTTTGCTCTAAAATATTTTTGGCTAATTTTTTTACAGTGCATGTACTCCAAAATCATGTTATATCTTGATTAAGATGTAGACGTAATTAATATTTAATTAAAAAAAAAAACATCTTGATTAAGATGCTGCGTAGGTTTCCAAAATATCAATGAATGAACTTAAAATGGCTAGTTGTCTCATATAAAGTTGTGCATGGTTGTTGGTTGTTAGAGAGAATGCAAGAGTAGTAAAATCTACTCATTTGGTTTTGAGGCTTATCTGTGAGAAAAAAACCTTTATTTTCAAGTGGATAGTTACTGTTGTCATTTTAAACATTGGTGGAACCGGGGTCGAGTGAAATTCATATGTAGGGTGTCCCTTATCCCCCAAGTTCATGGGTAAACTCTCCTGAAATTGGGTATACTATGGAAGCTTTTTCCCACTAGTCTTTTTAATTTGGTATTAAGCTTTTTTTATCCTATCCTGGTTCTGACACTAATTAAACAAGTTTTATATGGATATGGTCGATGGTGCGAGTCATACCCATTCTCAGCAAACTTATAAATATTTCTTATGTTAATGATTTATACATAATTTAGTATATAACTCCAAAAGAACCCATCCATATATGCTTGAGCATGCATGTAATTACAATTAAAGTCGGTTTCATACACAGATGCATGCATTACAGTACATACACACAAAAACACGTGCCAAATTTCCTTTTTGGAAAATCTTTAAATAGGTAGCATTTGACGCATTGAATAGAGTATATGAATCTTCATTTTGAACTGGATAAGGTTTCTTTGGGAACTTGTGTTTGTTTTTGACCAATTACAATTACATTACTCTTTCTAACTTCTGACATTTTCTAACAGAAGGTAGCAGCTGCGTCAGGAGATATGAGAAAAGTACTTGATGCTTGCAGGTTTAACACAAATGCTCTCTTGGAATTTTTCTTTCAAATTATGTTATAGCATTTCTTATCTAATGTTGAGGTAATATTTATTCATCAACCTGAGTCTTATATTCCTTTTCATAAAATATTGTTATTTTTTATGCATTTTAACTTTATGAACATTTTGCATTTCAACTGTCATGCAAATATGCACCATAAGGTATATAAGCTCATTGGTTCTTAGGTATAGGGCTCAGGTTAAGAGTTTGGTATGTACCCTGCTTTCACTTGCATGTATGAAGGGTGGTATGTTCAGTGGCTCTTTGTATGGAGTTCATAAGTCTTTATCTGAATTAATGCACTACTTATATTCAATAGAACTATCCTGGGTAGATTCTACCCTTCAAAAACAAAAAATCATCCAAATATTTAGGCAATTTTCTGCATCCAGTTCCACTTGGGAAAATAAAGCTTCAGATTTTGATTTTCTTTTTCCAGAACTTAGCAGGCTGTACATTTAGTTTGCACCTTTTCTTGTTGAAGTTGTACCTCACTTTAAGCAAGCCTTTTATGTGCATACTAGGACTGCGATTGAGGTGCTTGAGACAGAGTTAAGGGACAGCTCTACCAAGGAACAACCTAACAGTGTAAGACATTCAACAAACTTTTGCCCTTAATGAGCTTACATAATTCTTACGTTACAATGATCTTTGATGGTCAAAATTGCTTTCCTATAAGCTTGTTTGATAACTTTGTGGTTGGCAGCACTGATTTGCCGGTTGCATTTAATTTTTTCTTTTGCGTGCATCTGGCATTAGAAAGTCTGAACATTGTAGGTACATCAGATTTCATGATCTCAGTGGCTGGAAAATATAATGTGCTTTTAGTTACCATATACACCAATATAAAATTTAAACGCTTGACAATTTCTGTTCAAGTAGCTAGAGTAATGGATTCTTAGTGGTTTAGTTATTGAAATGAAGTTTTCCTCATTTTTTAGAAGATCCACCTATTGCCAATTGTCCATCTTAATGATTTTTTTTTCCAATTATCCATCTCAACGTACATTGAGCAGACTAAATTTTATTTGTTGCATTTATCAAAGACTTTTTATTTTAATGTTGTTGATGCTTGCTAATGTAATGCTATGATCCATCTTAAAGGGTAGAAATACATTTAAATAATGTTGCAGGTAACTTTTGATCACATGGATGTTGCATTATCAAAGGCATTTAAATCGCCAAAAGTGGACATCATAAAATCTCTTCCGCAACATCAACAGGTAAGCCTGAGGAAGTTTGATCAACCATTTCTTGCTATAGCCGATTTCAACCTAAGTGCATGCTGCCATTAGTGAATGGGTTGTTTTCTATGAGGCAGGGTTGCCAAGGGTTGCCAAAGCTACCTTTGGTAGAAACCCTAAAGTATAATTGCATTATAACTAAACATCAAAGAATCTCTTATTTGAATTAGCGCCAATAAAAGAATCCACTAAGCCAACAAAATAGAAGGCAATAGGGCCAATGAGAATGCTGACAATGAAATGATTATTGCTATTTAAATCATCTATGGCTTCAATTTACAGGTGAAATCCACACATAAGATTTTTCTTTTTGCCCACTCAACAGAGCAAACTATGACTTACCTAAATTATGTTACATATACAACTAGTGTCATTCCACGTGAAAATTGTCACGTTCTACCTTTTTTTTTTTTTTTTAACTTTTTGGCCTTGAAAAAATTACCATTTCTTTATTCTTCTTTTAACTTGGTTTTGGATTATTTGATCCTACCCTACAGATTTGCAATTGTTTTATGGAATATGTTCGCGTCTATGTGGATGTTCGAAAGGATAGTTTTCAACCATTAAACTGCCCAAATTTATACTTGAGTCCCTAAAGAAACAAAGACTCCTAATCCAACAACTTGATCAAAAGCATATGGACTTGAACATATGGGTCAATAACATTTAGGCACATTGAGAAACAATTTTTATCTTTAAACACTTATTGCAGATAATATTGTGCTCGATGGTGAAGCTCTTTCGTGGTTCAAAAAAGAATGCTACAACTATTGGAGAGGCAAGTTTGTCTCCATATGCATTTATTTTTTTCACTAATTTGAAATATCGAGTAATTTGAAACAATACATAGCGTGCTTGTTACAATTTTTAGGTTGACTTAATCATGAACCAGAAGTCATAGTTTGAGTGACTGAAATAACTTATATGGTAAATCAGGATTAGGCAGTTTACATTTATCCCTTCACTAAATCCCATATCTTTTTACATTATTGGGGGAATATGATACGAGCACATTTCTTTGCAAAGTGGAATAGACATCTGAAAATTCATAATTATAGAAACAACTTTTATTCTGATTTTCAATCTGATGTAATGGCTTTAGTCACCCTGCAAGTGTTTTTACTCTCCTGAAGTTTCTTTTCTGATTTTGTTTATAGAGAATCCACTCTTTTACCACCTTAATGGACTCAATTGCATCTATGATGAGCTTATATTTCCTACTTTTGCTTAATTATCATAAAAAATGTTGTAACGGCACAGCTGAACAAATCATATTTGGAAACATGCAAAACTGTCCATGTCCCAGCAGTTGGATCACTGGAATTTACAGAGATGTGCAGAGTACTCAGCGACCAGGTTAAAGTTAATTTAGAGCGTATTTTTTAGGATCTTAGCTACTTTATTTTGCTTCTAGTGTCATCATATCATTCTTTGTTCCAATGTTCAGGGGCTAATCAAACTTGGTCAGTCAAAACAAGATAGATTGAAGAGAGTAACATTACAAATTGATATTCTAGACATTTCTTTTGCTTTTAAGGTATAGATTCGGAAGAAACAAGGTGTTTTTTGTGTTAATTTAAGCAAACTAATTAGCTCTACTTACGTTGGCAGGATATTCGATTTTTTAAAAATTGTCTTGAAGATTATTAGTGCCCCAGCTAAAAAGATGATTCATATGAGATCAACAAAAAAGAATAATGATTCTTGATTGTTGTTGAAGCTAAGGATTTCATAATTTGTGGTTCCTGAATTGCTGAATCCTGCTACATGATTGAGATCAAAGATGGTTACCTGCTTGAGTGTCTAAAGCAATCCCCTTTACTGGATGGCCTTCTGGAACCCACAAGTAACTTTTTTAAACATATAGTTATTATATCAACGGATGGATAGTCTCCTAATGCAACTGGGCAGGAAATTTTTTTTGTTTTTCTTAGGACAATGACACTTGAGAAGATTGAAGTTCCTTTCTTATTGAGATGATTGAAGGAATCAAGTTGCTAATGAGAAATCAAAGTGTGAGGTGAACTTCTTTCAACAATGTTGATTTGTTTAGCAAGTAACCAAGCTTGGCACCTTATTTGATGGCATGTTTTTGTTTTATGTTTCTACAAACAAGTGGAATTGCTTAGGATACTTGTTTTTGTTTGTTTTCAAAAACAATTAATTTTTAGGCTATGAAACATATAGTAACACAATTAATAAATACATCAGCATTGCAAGGGATGAAAAAAATAATAAATAAGTATAATTAATTATGAAAATATGATTAATAATTTTTAATTTTATTTAAAATCATTTAAATCATGTAGGACTAGTAGTTGGTCTCCTCCAAATTCTCATGCAACTTCTTACATTAATTTTGAGAAATTTAATAGTTTTGCGCAACAAAATTGACACGTTGTATTCAACTTTTATTTTATTATTCTTTGGTGTTAAAGATTAGAATTTTGCATATTTTACTTATGAATAAGACTGCCACATAACCTGGAAATTTCGGGTTAGACCCGACTTGTTTGACAAACGGGTTCGGGTTGACCCGACGGGTTGCCGGGTCAACCTGGAAACCCGCTTAGAATGAGCTGAACACACCTGCCCCGACTGCCCGCGCCATGCCCGACGCAACCCACGCCCTGCAGCTGCCTCTTGTGAGTTGCGCCCGCGTTGCCCGTCTGCTCGCTCGCGTCCGCTCGACTGCCTGTTCGCCAATGTACGTGCGCCCGCCTGCGCGCCCGAATCCGGGCGCCCGAGCCCGCGTCCTATGTCGGGTCGGGTCCAAGTTCGAGTTTCCGACCCGTTTACCTACCCGGGTCGGGTTAGGGTCGACTCGATTGAACCCGTGTCAGTTCCGGATTCAACCCGAACCCAACCGTGACCCGAAATTGACACCCCTACTTATCATGGGGACTTCTAGCATCATTAGTGTCCATTTAGTGAAGATAACCTTGTTCACAATCTTTACTCAACATTTCTTCAATGTTGCCTTTTTCTTGGATACTGGCATGCTTCTTGTAAAAACAATTTTTTTTTTTTTACAATTCGTTATTCTCTCTCATCTTATACTCAATATTTATAAAATTTCTCGGATTTGTATAATTTAAAATATTTACAATTATTGTTATCATCACCATTATCATCATCAATACTCCAATTTGCATCTATAATCCTACTATCTCTCTTTTATGTTTGCTCTCTAAAAATCTTGTTGAAGCCAGTAAGAGTTAAGTTTTTCTTGAAACCATTCAAATACTACATTACATACTCTTGCTAAAATTTCCTGGCACCCATGGCTCTATCTTAGTTAGGCTTAAGCTTGATCACACTAAATTTTCCAACCAACTCCTTCATGTATTATGTTCTAATGTTTTACAAGAAAATTAAACCGTTAAGAAATTAAAAGTTTGTTTAAGGGCTTGATATGTCACCATTGTAAATTTAAAAATAAAGAAAAAAGAGCAATCGGTCACCATAGCTATCCAAGAAAACACAACACTTTCAATAACTAATAATAAACAATTGTAAAATGATGTAAACTACAAAAGAATTATATATAATTCTTGATAGAGGCAAGACAATTTTGCATTAACATCGAGGGGTGCTTTAAGGAATTAAGCTGTAAAAGAGATTAGACTAGGTGAATAAGCTTGCATATCTCTGAATAACTAGAGGAAAACGGTCTAAACTACGAGAAGGGACCTAGTGCTGGGAGTCACCCTTCTATATGCCAAATTATACGAGGGTTTGTGAAGGCTACTATAACAACAACAAGCTTTTATCTCATTATGTGGGGTTAGATATATGAAATTTTTTTTTCCATTGTGTCCTATTAAGAGTCAATTTCTCATCTAAATCTAATAAAGGAAGGTCATTTTTAATATTTTCTAACTAAGTCTTTTTAGGTCTACCTCTATCTTTCTTAACATAAGTCAAATTTAATGCATCTTCTTTCCTAAATGGGTCATCGAAAGGCCGCCGTTTTATGTGACCAAACCATCTAAGGCGACTTTCTCTAATCTTATCTTCTATAAGAGTTACTCCAACCTTTTCACATATATGCTCATTTTGTATTTTGTCTCTAAGAGTAAAGCCACTCGTCCACCTGAGCATCTTCATCTCTGCAACACTTAACTTAATATTATGCTTCTCTTTTAACATCCAACATTCTGCACCATAAAACATTCCAGATCTCACTACTGTCTTATAGAATTTTCCCTTAAAGTTCGAGAGGGACTTTTCTATCACACAATAAGCCCGGTACATTCCTCCACTTCAACCATCCAACTTGAATTCTACTAATAATATCCGCTTCTGTTTCACCATCACTATGAATAATAGACCCAAGATATATAATACGTGTACTCTTATTAATGACTTGATCGCCCAAAGTCATAATCCGACCACTAGATCTATTATTACTAAAAATCACACTCTTTATATTCAATTTTAGATCTACTCAAATGAAATCCTGTAGACTCTAAGATTGACATCCATAGTTCAAGTTTATCTTTAACTCTTTCTCTAGTCTTATCAACAAGAAGAATATCGTCAGCAAAAAGCATACATCAGGGTTGAACCTCTTGCAAATGTCTAGTAAGAACATCCATGACTAAAGCAAAAAGATATGGGCTTAAGACCGATCCTTGATGTAATCCAACTAAAATAGGAAAATACTTGGTCAAACCACCTTGTGTTTGAACAACAACTCTTGCATATATACCCTTAATGATTTGAATATAAATACCATTAACACCTTATGAAGAGCTCTCCGTAGCTCTTCTCTTGGAACTTTATCATATGCTTTATCTAAATCAATAAAAATCATATATAGATCCTCATTATCTCTATACTTCTCCATGAAATCTCTTAATAAATGTATAACTTCCATAGTAGACCTACTTGACATGAATCCAAATTTATTTTGATAAACATTAGTGTCACGCCGCAACTTATGCTCCATAAATCTCTCTCATAATATGACAGATTAACTTAATTCTTCTATAATTCACACAATCTTTTGCATCATTTTTATTCTTAAAAATATGACTCAACACACTCATTCTCCACTCATTTGGTATCTTTTTAGTCTTCAAAATAATATTAAAATGTTTAGTATGAAAAAAAAAATTATTTCATATCATAAACATTTCCACACCTCAAATTGAAATATTATCAGGTCCAACAACTTTTTCTTGCTTCTTTTTCTTTAAACATTCTTTAACTTAGATTTTACTTATACGCTAATAAAAACAAAAATCTTTATTTTCATTTTAGGTGCTAAGATCACTAAAGTCAATCACATTCTCACAATCTTCATTGAAAAGTTAAACAAAATATTTCTTCCACCTTTATTAAATATCCTCTTATAATAAAAACACTTTATGATTTTCATTCTTAGTAAACTTTACTTGAACTAAATCATTTCTGCTCCTATATCTTTGTTTAGCTAACTTATACATAAATCTGTTGCTCTTCTTTATATGTAATTTATTATATAAATCATTAAAAATTAAAATATTTGCATCGCATATTACTTTCGTAGACTCCATATGGGCCTCTTTATATTTTTTCCAATTATCATAATTTTTGTAATATTTTTTTTAATATTTTTTCTTGCACATTTTGATTCCACCACTAATTATTTTTACTATTATTAGCTTTTACCTTTGGTACTCCAAGCGTATTTTTGGCAACATTCTTAATCTCACTAGATATTTTTTTCACATAACATTAGCTTTGTTATGAGCAGATAAAATATTAAAATTTAGAATTTTACTTTAAAAAATATTTTTGTTAATTTCTATAAATGCCCCAATCTAATCCTTGAATAACGATTTATTTTATTTTTTATTTTCTGCCCCTTTATCTTAAAGTTTAAAATTAATAAACGATGTTGGGTACATAAATTTTTACTCTAAATAACTTGACAATCTTTACAATCTAAACGATTGTTTTCTTATAAGAAAATAATCAATATGAGTTTTACTATATCTATTTTTATAAGTGATGAAATGCTCTTATCTTTTCTTAAATAAGATATTAACAATTACGAAATTATAAGCTAAAGAAAAATTTAATATGGTCTTATCACCTTCATTAGTCGCTCTGAAGCCTTAGTCACCATAAACTCTTTTAAAACCATTGATCTCTTTACCAACATGTCCATTTAAATTTCCTCCCATAAAAATTTTCTTCAAGAGGTATCTTTTGTATTAATTTTTTCAGGTCATTAAAAAAAAAATTGAACATATATCCAAACCTACTTGAGTAACATAAATGCTTATAATATTAATAATCTTAGCATTAATAATAATATTTAAAATTATAATTCTACAATTCTATTAACTTTTACAATATTATACTTTAAACTCTTATTTATAATTACATTTACATCATTTCTTGTACGACTCATACCAGAATACTATAGTTTAAATCATAAACTATCAATCTCTTGGCCTTCTTTCCAATGAATTTAGTTTCCTGGATGCATAAGATATTTACTTTCGATGAATTGTAATATTTATTAATTTTATTAATTTGCCTTAAGGGAATTTATATTCCAACTTCTAATGTTAATTTTAGTTTCATGGACTAGCTTCGTTTCCCACATGCGTCCATGATATGGAAACCCTGGCCTATTAAACACTGCATTCGAGTGCCGGTGCAATGACCCTTGCACACTTATCGTTGTATTTAAATCATACAACGCTTCACTTTCAGGGAACACCCTAGCATTGACATGATATGAATTTAAGGGCCTGTGAAGGCTAATGATAAGAATTATATCCTGTGAACAGAGGATGTCTAGACCTCTTCTAAACCACCTAATTGGATTTAAACTAATAATGCTAAATCTCTATGTAGAACAGGTTGAGTTGTAGAAAGAAAAAGTGAGTCGAATTGTCTTAGCAGGTGAACCTGTCAATCTTCATCGCTAAGAAGGCCAATATGTTTCGTTTCTCTCACTCCACTTGTATAGCATTCATGAAATATTTTTCATTCCTCACCTGCTGAACTTGCTATTTCTTGCTTGCTTAAAGTACTTGGATTTCTGTGATTCATTTGGTAAATAAGATTACTATCAAGTTCCAACTGAGATGGTATATGTCACAACAAAAGCATAGTGCTTTGGACTATTGTACTTCTTTGTCTTCTATTCTATGTCTGCCACTACCTCCTTAAATCCCCACTAGAAAGATGAATCGAGAAAG